TCTGAATTCCTGTCGGGTTGTACCGATATACGTACGAAACTTAATTCTCACATTGAGACGGTTGTGGGATTGGCGCTGAAAGTGGTTATTTTATCCATGAGCTAACTAAAATCACGCACTGAAAGCATTTGTGAGTTACTTTGAGGATAGCTACAAGTGACTTGTCAACCAAAATCACGCGTTATGTATGCTTGCTTTTATTAATCACACTTCAAGTCAACCAAGAGCTGTATATAGGTCCTCTCGTCAAATGAGAAATGAATTTGGATTTTAGGATACTGCTTCTTACAGTTTCGGGCATGTGGAACTTTGTACACAAAGCTTGCAAATTGTCGCTCTCGTTCTGACCTATTCCGAATTTTTAGGAGCAGTTTATATTTTACTGCGTTATATTTCAGTGTGCGTGAAAGTGGGGGCTTCGTGAATTCCAAAAAGAACTGGCGATTTTCAGCACCTTCGTTACTACTTGTCCGTTTTCGAATGAATATTTACAGGAGCACACTTCCATCCGTTGACAACATCTGGCGAAACACGAACGCCATGCACTCTAGTGCATGAGGGCACGATACTGCAACCTGCAACTTGCAGTGGACAAGATAGGCGGTATAAACTACTCATAGATGGGAAGCAGAGAAATTGTTGGCAAAGGAGTGCACAATGTGAGTTTTGCTGAGTGTGGTTGACAACGGACAAACTTATCAACTTTGACATGCCACACAAAGGGCATTGTTTCCCATGTCTAAGGGGTCCTCCTTATTTTGGACGTGTGTGTTTAACCCAACTACATTCTAAAACGCCAAATCACTATTCTGAAAAAATCTCAGGCATTATTAGCACTGTTTATTTTCGTATGTCTGCTATCATAGTAATTGATGACAACGCATTTCTCATCCACGACATCATCACTGCTTTCTCGGACCTTTCATTAAGTGGTTCGGAAAGCAAATTTGACGTTTTTCGTATTTCTTATTTTAATTCAGATACTACTAAAAAAACGTATCCCTTGATGATGATACGTTTCCCAAACATGACTTCCCTGTTTGAATAATCCTGGTTCAGTTTGACGCATTAATACTTTCAGGTCAAGAATCCCTGCTCTACTCACTTCAGCTAGTGCACAGCCGCGTTGGTTCATAGTCCATGTTTGCGAGACTTCATCACGCTGGAATTTTCCACACACCTTGGCTCCATATGCCTCATGCACGTGATCCGTTTAACGTCCACCCGTGGCCATCTCGTACCACCTTAGCGAGTCTACTAAAGAGAATAATGAGCTCACAGGAAACATGATTCAATATCATTCAGTTGTCTTATATGAAGAGTCAATTTTTATCCAGTGCTATCTTGCTTTTCTTCAAAACACCCACGGAAATCATGTCAGTGGAGGCCACCTGTAAGCTAAATGGACTGTAATGTAACGAGTGCTGACAATGAGTGAAAACAACTGGACCTCGTGTAAATTATCATCTCAGTTGGTTGTTGATCAGGTGGCTGTTGCTCTGTTTGCCCAGCTTGGCACCATACGAGGAGACATCATCAGTGCGCAGTTGGGTGGGTACTTCTTCCTTGCCTGCGTGAGCTTATATAGTATTCAAAGGCTATCTGTTATCTTCTGAAGTGATGGCTACTTGAAGTGTAACGAATTTAGCGAAACTATTGGTCCGTTTGTAATCTTCGTTGCGTTGTGGTCTGTGTTCCTTTGTGTTGATTGGTTATCCCAACGCCTCTTAACTTTAGTAGCTTGTTCTCTCTGGCCTTGATTTGCATTGCGTTGTGGTTTGACGTCCTCGAGTTTGATTGGTTGCTTGCACCGCCCTATTTCCTCCACATTGGCGGTCAGTGTCCCCGTGTCCGCCGGTGGATTTGGTGCTTTGGTTGGGCGCCTCCTCCGATTCAATTCATGTGTTCGTTTGAATGACGCTTTTCTGCTTCTCCCATGAGTTCCTCGTCTGGTTGCTTTTGCAGCTCTAAGCTCTGTGGTTCTGGCGTTCTCTTGCTCTTAGTGGCTGGTAAACGGGATCAATTTCGATGTGTTTGTTGATGGCTTCTTCGGTGGAGTACCCCGCTTCCATAAATTCGCGTTATCTTTTTGTTCTTGCTTGAGCCAGTATGCAAACGCCGCTCCAGTCGAATTCGTGTCCTTCGTGATCTTTGTGTGCGGAGATGAGGGAGAACTGATCGCGTCCTTTAGTGCCAAGCTTGTGTTCATGTATTCTGATGCAGAGCTTCCTTCCTGTTTGTCCTACGTATCGTTTGTCGCAGTCCTTTCATTGGATCCTGTATATGACATTGTTCTCCGCCACTGGATCTAATTTCCCTTTTGTTCTTGATTGTGTCCTCTTCAGATTATTCGCAGGCTTGTTAGCGACCAATATATTGTGCTGTCGTAAGAGCCTTGCCGTCATTTCAGCGGTGTTCTTGATGTACGAAAGTGCGACTCGTTTGCTTGCAGTTTGTCCTGTTGCATCGATCGTATTTGGGTCCCTTTCAACACACTACCAATTACCGTCTCAATGTTTGAACACTATATACAGACACCAAATTCTTTGAATCACCACTCACAAACTTTGTATCGTAAAGTAATTTTTAAAATTAACATTAATAATATGTTGTCTGTGATACTGAAGTCAGTGCGCTTTTCGTTCACCATTGTGCGCAACTGCGTGTTCTACCGCGTCGGACAAGAGTTCACATGAAAGATTATAATTCAACCTCCTTAAAATCTGCAATTTGTCTCCCGCGTACAACGATTGTCTTCTACGCCTTATCCATATTCACAGTCGTTCTTTCCGTTGACTAAATTCACATCATCTTGCCTTTTTAACTCACCCTGACTGTGTTTATGTGTGCACCTAAACACAGGAGCTTCCTCTCCAAACCTGTTTCTGAAATATTAAGCTAAATACTTTACTTGGGCTGCTTCAATATTTGTCAGTCTCCACAATCCTAACTAGCATCATTTTATTGCCTGTCATATCACCCATATATATCCGTTGTGCTAGAAGCGCTCATAATTGAGGCATCAGTACTTATTGGTGGTGGTACGCAGTTCGCGGTGTTTGTAAAGAAATTCTGCTTGTTTCGTAGGATATGGCTTTGTGCATACACGAAAAAAGTATTGGTAAAACCCGATCAATATGCCTAGCGAAATTATTCCCTTTGATACGTTGGTAGTGAAGCTATATGCCGCCCAACATATCGCGTGCCGCTTTTTACTCAATAAGAATATCTGAGGATAGAGCATTGCTTATGACTCCCACAATTACTCGTCGACAACTCCTTTGGAATCGCACTTTTCAGAGATTTAAATTTGAAAATTATTCCAAAATACTGATCCCTTATATATCGTGCTTGTTTCACAGACAACGGATAACGGTTATTCACCTCGTCGTCATCATCATCATCAAAGAGAGCAACATCAGTGCTGGGACTGATGCTTCACTTCACTGCAACCACAAAGTTTATCTAACCATATTCGAAGCATTTAAGGGCAAATAAGAGATAAACAGTTGGTGACGGAGGAGACTTGAAGCTGGACTATCGCCGGCATTCTGAGAGGAATACAACTCCAAGCGTTCAATCAGACAAAGTGTCAAGAAAATGACAACAAGAAAGCCACTGACATCAAGCAATTGACATTTCCTGCAACGTCTCCAGCTAAACACAGCTGGGGCAACGAGGACCCCATCCTGGAAGGCGTACAGTACCAACAACACCACAATTCTTCATGATCTCTTTCACGCCCTTCTCCCAAGTCACATGTTGTCCACCCCGTGGTTTGCACCTTTCTCAAGGAGGCACGGAGAACAACACTAGTATCAATAAACAATGTTCGGGTATGTGTAGCACAAGGCCGAGCCAACGGAGTCGGTGGTGTTGGATGTTTCCCCAATTGAAATACCTACCGCATAATCAAATACCCGTTTTCCAATCACCTCGTTACTAACAAGCTGACGCCATCCAAAACCAGCAACGCTTCTGAAACATCGGTGATCAAAAACCTGGATAAGCTTCACATCATCTGTCCACAGAGTCCACATCTAACACCCACATAATAACAGTCCTTACTGTAGCCTGGTACACGCGACTCTTAAGATCTAGTGATATGCCTTTTTGACGCCACACTAGCAAAACGTTATTTCGGCCTTTGAGATGCTTGTACTGACTTCACCAGGCACGTTTGTCAGGACTAACACAAATACTGAGGTACGTAAAATTCTCCACAAGCTAGTGGTTCTAACTGAATTGTAACGGGCACGTTCAGAGACTGTGTACTCTGAAGTATGACTTTGCACTCCGAATGTAAGGCGCATACCGAAAGACAGTATGACGGCGCCTGTGATTCGATTCGTCTTCAGAAATGACGACGAATACGTTGGCGCACTTAAAATCGATGAGGGTCTTAACAATAACAATTTGAACACCGGGATTTGGAAGACCTTCTGGTGTTCGCCTCATCATTTCATCGACGATAAAATGAACAAGGACGAAGACGATTGTTACGGTTCTGTCACGCAGCGAGCAAACAATATGATAATGCGGATTGTGGCAATACTCTATCCCCAGCTATGTTGCTTGATCCAGACTCCTAGCACGGCGAATAGTAAGAAGACGAAAACCTCGGACACAAACTTTAATAATCCAACAACACACGATCAACAGGCGATGCCCGGAGCTTCCGAACCCAAGTCAGTGGAAAGAATGGTATCCTGTACGTGGTCGGATTTAAATTTCCTTGGAGTATCAATAGGCCATTGATTTTTCATAGTTTGACCTT